TATATAGACTAATTTATTGAAACTAACTTGGAAAAATAAAAATGAAAGTCAATTAAAATACAAAGCAGGAAACAAAGTTCTCTAATTGGTGCCTTTAAATGTATTTATTTAGTGGTTCATTTATATAATTCTGCTTTTATTTCTAATTATGTCAGTTTTTGTCCTCCATACTGCAGAAGCCTGATAATCATATATTCATTCATATCAGGTGTGCTGGAGCAGAGAAACAGGTAAAACTTGCCGAGCTGCGGCCCTCCAGGACCAGGATTGCCCACCCCTGATCTTAAAGATATGAAGCATCTTTACCTTTGTCACTATCTGGTTTCTGAAGCATCATATTTCTTATACGAGGTTGAGGCTGAGGAGCAGATTCTGTGGGAGTGCTCGGCAGTTTTTTCTCTGAACTGCTACTCCTCTGAGGTGTTGACGGTGCTGCAGTAACATCAGCTACTTCTTCTTCATTACCAGGCATATTAGTGTTTTCTGAAAACTCTTGAAGCCCAGGGGAGGCCATTCTGCGCCCAGGCAAGGTCCTCTTACTGGTAGTACTTGCAGAATCCCAGTCTGATGCATCTGATTAATACAAAAAACTGAACATCACTAAATGAAAACATGACTAATATACAGTCTTACGAAGATTGAAAAGTCTGCTTCCATTGAGTGCATACATCTTAGTTAAATGAAACTATGATGGGAACAGATCTGGGAAAGGCTTTTACACCACTGCACTCTATAGCAAGTGTCTAAAAGGAGATACACTACTACAGCTTCAACTTCTATACTGTTACTGACCTGCTTTTTGAGCTTCAAAATATGTTGTAACAAAAACAAAAAACAGACTAGAAAAGTTAGGGATGCAATAAATGCTTTAACCCAAATTGAAAATTGTAAAACCAGCTATTTTTTAAACATCAGGTTTAAAATGTTAAAGAACTAAAATCAAAAAGTAACTAAGAGGACTGAAACTTTCAAGTCAATTTGGTTCTTATACAACCAACTCTAAAAAGATTTTCATCAGGCTTGGTGACAAAATATATAATATAACACATCATCAAGTTAATAAGGGGAAACAAAAGGCTGTAGTAGTGGATTATTAGATGTGAGCAGATAAAGACTGAATTATTAAATCTCACCTTCAAGATCATCAGCATCCCCCACATCCAGCTCTACCATTAGGTCTGTCAAATATGAACATAGCACAACAATAAATTTAACACTTACAAATTATTTGTTCCTTTTATTTAAACTTCTCTACCTGATTTTTGGTCAGCAGTTTCTTCAAGTTTGCTCAACACTGCAAGCCGTTCCCGTTTTGTCTTTTCATTCTAGTAGAATGAAAAAAAAAAACATTACAGTATTTGACTGATGATATTTCACTGACTTTTCCCATTATAAGATGGCAAAACTACCTCTTTCTGTGGAGTTTCATCTTTTTCAACAGGTTCACCCCCGTTTTCACTTTTACTGTTGTTTCCTGCTGGAAGAGGTAAGACATGTTTAGTACTTTTGATCTCTGTTTAAGAACAGCAGCCTGATGATGTAGTCTGTTTGACGCAGCTCTGAAGAAGCATTCCCATGCAGATGAGCTTGAGGTTGAACAGACAGTACACGCCTTCTCAAGCATTTAAACCAGGGGTGCCCAAACTTATTCCCTGAGTGGGCCAAAATGAAAATCTACCCAAGGGCTGCAGGCCAAATGCAATAATACATATAATAGAAAAAAAGCATATACTTCTTAAGTAAAACTTTTTTTTACTTTTTATAGTTAAGCCAAGAGCCAGTGCAGTGGCCCACATTTTGTTTGTTTGTGTTTTTAATCCGTACACTTGCTCGGGCAGCAAAGGCTCATGGGACATTTCATATGTTGATAAAATATGAGTATTTGCAGTCTTATAAAGTTTTCAAATCTACATGTGTGCTTAAATCTTATGTAAATATCTTCTTTGGTTTCTTGTATTTTATACTTTATCTTAATATAATTCAGCGGCAAAGTCAGCTATCTGTGCTACAGTCCCTTATTTAGTCATTGGGCCATTGGATGTAATTACTGTACATGGAAATACAGAGTTTCTACAGAGGATGACAGGCAATTAAAAACTACTGGTGGGCCAATCAAATGGCTTGGCAGGCCAATTTTGGCCCGCGGGCCCCACTTTGGGCACCTCTGATTTAAACTCATAAAAATTGTATTGAGACACAGCTTCAACAATAGCACAGATTAGTAGAACTTAAACCAAAACCCTTTTAAAAACAAAAAGTCAAGTTGTACAGATGTTCATTTCTATTTTAAATCAAATCAACGGAGTATATGTGCAGCAGGCAGGATGTAGAGGTGCATGCATTCATTCCTTTATCTAATAATGAGGTGATGTGAGGCCTCTGGTTAGCTGGGAGTCAAATCAGTCATACCCTCTCTCTGGCTGCATTGTGGCCTGTCTCTCTCTGCCATCCTACTGCCTCCCCTCCCTCTTAAAAAAGAAGGAATGTAAAACATGTCTACAAAAAAAGTAACAAGCTGTTGGGAAAGCTGATAAAATTATGTCACATTTTACTTTCTGCATAATATTTCTATGAAGACCAAGAAGCTAGAATTATCTTATAGTATATTCCACATACGACATGGATGAAGTGAAGCACTGTTTCTTTTTTATTTATTTTATAAATACAAATAAATAAGGTCACGCTGTTTCCACTGCATGAAATGTTGCCTGCATGATTATACTTGGACACACAATCTGTTTCTAGAACACAAATTTTAAAAAGTGACTTACGTTCTTGGAGTGGTGCTTCAGTCGACAACATTTCCTGTTGATTCTGAGTATCAAAATCTTGATCTTCTTTATGTGGCATGATGGACTTTTCAGAGTTTGACTTTTAAAGATAAACAAAAAAATCAGTGTCTTTAGAGACTGAAAGTAAATATTTATTAATGAATTCTTTTCTGACATGTGTAACTTTGGTGCACCTCAGAGTCCCATGACTCAGGTTTTTCTTCACCTCCTTCCAGACCCAGCTCAGACAGAAAATCTGCTCAGATAAAAACATATTACTTGATAATCTTTTAAAAATTATGATTAGTTTGGAGCATAAAAATACAAACAATAAATTATCCTTTTTTTGTTCAGTATTTTTATATCTGAAAAACGTTTTCAATTGTTGCCAAAGAAAAAAATGAGTTTATGTATCTGAATGATGCAACCTGGAGAAAGTTTGTACAACTCTAATATCGATGTAATGTGACTTTAACGAGAAAATAAAACAGCCGTTTTGTGCCTTTTTTGTTGAGAAACTGTGTACATAACACATCTATGAAAAGGCCTTTCCTGTTTTCTATATGAATGAATGTTGAACAGGATTCAGATCAATTCAAAATTCAATTCAAAAACACTATTGATCCCAGAGGAAAATTAGGCTCATTTAAATAAAGAGTTATTTTATTTGATCTGAATAGTCTCTATTTTTCATAAACAAAATAAAGAGTAATCTCATTTATGATCCAAACAAAATGTAAATTTTTTTTAATTTTGATTAGTTTTTAGCATTTGCTCTGAATAAACCAACTCTTACCTCTTTTCTTCTCTTTAACAGGTTCTGCTTCAGGAACAGGTGAAGTGGCCTCAGGAGACTCTTCACTAACTTCAGACTGATCATTCTCATCTGACATGTCTCCTTCCTCCTCCTCATGCTCGTCTTCTCCATCATCCTCATCCTCAGTGGAATCTTCTTTCTGTAAAAAAAAATTTATTAAATGTTAAATTTCAACTCTATCATCCCGTGATATGTAAAACCTAAACTCATCCATCACTTTATTCTATCACCATTCTATCATTTTAGGTCATCTAGGATAATTCACTCAAACGTGCAACATCCCTTAACATCGTGTCTTCTAATAACATCTTACAGGACATTTTATATTATCCTACATCACCTGGGAGACTTTTTAACTACCTAACCATATTGTTTATAGTTTTACTGTATTTTATACAATTTATTGTGTTTATTTTGTTTTCCTTCAGAGTGTTTACATTGTTTATTGTTCTAGTGTGCTTAAACTTTTATTCTTATTTTATTCTCTCTATTTTATTCTACAGTAATTATTTTTACTTGAATGGTTGCAGCTGCAATAACTGTAATTTCCTCAGGGCTCAATAAAGTATTCTGAGTCTGATTCTAAAATAAGTTAAACTAGAAGCACTCGGAGAGTGCAAACCTCCACCAAGACCAATTTCTCCCATCCTGTAAGAGTAAAAGCACAAAAGCAGAGATGGAAACACATTTGCCAAATGAGTTCTGACGTAGTGAACATTTAAGCAGGCAGTATGCACGGAATTTCTTCTGGGTGGAGTCCAATGTGAAAAAAAAGGTCAGAAACTGGAGTCGGATTAAGCTCCTAAGTTTTCATCAGTCACATTTCACCATGTAAAACGTCTGTTTTATCTCCTTGTATGAGTTTGTAATGGTTTGACTCTCTTTATAAAGTGCTTCCTGGCTCCCCCCGTCTCCAAACTTTGAGGCCTGCAGCTCTCTGTTTACAAGACTAGTAGAGACAAACTGCTTTGATTGGTTGTTTTGGAAATGTGGTGTGTTTGAGGAAATGGGAAAAATAGGTTTCATGGTGCAGTCACACACTTCCTGGTCACAAAACATTCTGTAAATGTGCACATTATGGTAAAAATTATTCATCATTAAATGTGGTTTTAACATTACTTTTATAAAGTTTGAAGTCCATGCTGTCCAATCCACCTCACTGTTTTTTTACAGAAGCCCTGTGAAAGCATCACAGCTTTGCCGATCTCAGAGTGTTAAAAGAAAAAAAAAAAAATCCTGTATCCGCATCGTGATCCGGAACATCACCAAAATTTAAAGGTGTGTTCCTTGGCCCAGTACCCACAAGTGATAAAAATGTCATGACAATCCATCCACAAGTTTTTGAGTAAAGTTGTCCACAGACAGAACGACAGACAGACATACGTGACCAAAAACATTACCTCGCCCTTGGCGGAGGTAATAAAACTATCTATTTACTGTATACTAATCAATCTAAAATAAAGGGTCTCTGAGCTTTTCTTACAACAAAAACCAAAAAGGAGGAAACATAAAAAATAAAATAAGGAATACTAACTGTACTACTTTACAAACTACAGCAGAACACCTGTTTTACCTGAAGTTCTTTAACGTCTCTTAGCTCAAGCCATTTCATGTCTGTGTTCTCAGGTGAGTTCACATCAACATCATCAATGTCAGTCTGAGGTAACGCTTCATCAAACAATGTGTCGTCATCGTTGGTAGGTGGACTGGAGCATGTATTTTTATCTTTCTGCCCTTCGTTAACATCTTCATTTGACTCTGTTGTTTTGGTGCCAACTGGTGTTTTATTTTGTAACAAAACATATGACGTCAATCTGGCACCACCACTATCTACTGAATGTCCGCCTGCACATGGACCAGTGGTGTTTCCAGAACCTTCCTTCTCATCAAGCATGTTGACTGTGGCGCTGGCAAAGTCATACTGGAGCTTTTGATGCTTGCTGTCTGAGCCCTCACTCGACTCATTGTCTTTGCTCAGAGGAGATCTCATTTGAACCAGCAACTTGTTATCGACTGTCGTTGTTTCCTTCATATTTTCATTAATAATAGAATGTGAAATGACTTCATTATCACCGTCACTCTCACTGCTGTCTGCGTTTTCAGCTACTTTCCTGTCTACTGCACCTGTGGGTCTTTTACTTAGTGACAGCAAATTGTTTCTAGACAGAAGGGTTGCTTTTCTTTTCTTCTGCTCTTCTAAATGAACACTTTTCTCTTCATCATCCCAGCTATTATCCTCTTTCTCATGCTCAGAGTCTGACTTTCCTTCCATCTGTGACGACTGAGCCACTGACTCGATGTCTTCATCATCTTCAGGTACAGTTGACACCACAGGGGAGGGGTCATTTGACTCTTTCTCAATACTTTCTTTATCTTCTTCTTCCAAGGAGGAATCGTGTTGCCCTTTGGTCTTGATTTCTGTGATAATATTTGATTTTAAATCTGATGCCACTGCTTGGTCATCATTCCAGTCTGATTCTTCCTCACTGGGTCTAATTTTGGGCTGAGGACAGCTTGTTATGTTTTGTCCTGCAAATGATTTCTTTTCATTGGTAACTAGCTGGGGGGAGCCAGGCGATAAAGAATCCCATGAAGTGTCTAGTTGTTGGTCATCAGGAGGTAACACGTCTTTAGGATGCAGTGAATCTACCTCTGGTTGCCCATTTTGAAGTAGAATACCAGTCTCTTGTCCAGAAATGTTACTCTCTTTGGGTATGTCAGTGTCACTGCCTTCTTGTGAGGAGCCCCATGAGGATTGCTGATTCTCTCCTTCCTTTCGATTGGAGCCTGCAACATCATCTGCATCAAACAGACAGGAACCTAAACCAACCTTAGCTACCAAATGTTTTTGATAAGTCATCAAAGTGCTGTGACCAGATCCTCCTGTTTTGTTTAGTTCCTCATCATCACTGTCATTCCAAACTTCAGCATCATTTTCATTCTCACTCCAGGAGTCATTACGATCTTTTTCTGTTTGTCTTTCAGACTCATGCTCTTTAAACTCTCCATGTGATTGAGGCAGCGCAGGGACTTCTGTTGAACCTTGGTTTGAAATAATTTTTTGATTGATTAAGCATTCCTTAGCAAGGCTTTCTTCTTCATCAGAAAATTTAGATTCCACCCTGATGGCCGACACAACACAGTCCTCCACAACATCTAATGCTGTTGGCACGGCACCAGATGCTGTAACAGCTGAGCAGTTGACGTCAGTGTTTTCAGGCTCTGATTTGGCATTTTGCTCAGAAGTCCCATCAATCTCACGCTCGTCTCTCAGAGAAGCTCCAGCATCATGACAGTCATCAGTAATGTGAGTGTTCAGAGCATCAACACTAATTGTAGGAACTTCAGTTCTAGAACAATTCTGGGTATCTTCAGCAGCTGCAGCGCTGGAATGTTCTTCCTCATCAGATTCATCTTCTTCTTCTTCTTCATTCTCTTCCTCTTCACTGCTTTGTTCATCTTCATTATCCTCATCTTCCTCCTCCTCCTCCTCATCATCATCATCCATTTCTTTACTATCCTCTTCCTCCTCTTCCTCAACGTCCTCTTCAGAGTCCTCTCCTGCTGAGCTTTCCTCCTGAGAGTCTGTTCTTTTATTACCTTCTGAATGTTGCTCTGAGTCTGTTCCTTCTCCACTCTCAGCTGAACTCTTTCCTTGTTTTGAGCATTAGAAGAAACAAAGAGGTAAAGTCAAAAAAAATGCAACAAAGCCTTGTGTCAGTTTACCTTTCTGTGGTTTGAAAGGGGAGTGGAAGACATCTGCAGACATTTGGGAAAGGAGGAAACTGCAGGGGAGTCTACTGGGTGCTGCAGAGATATGCTGGAAGTTGAAGCCTTAGGGATGGATGGGATTCTCTGGACTCTACTTTCATTTTCTGGCTCTGATTCGGTGCCACTGGAGGAAGTGTCAGATAGTGCAGAAGCTACAGGGTAGGGAGGGATAACTGATCACTACTAAAAAATACAAACTGCGGCAAAACTATTACTATAAGAAATAAAATTTGAACATATTTTTGTTACCTTCTTCCTTTCTAGAGCCAAACACTTTGCCCAGGTTCACTTTTAGTGGTTTCTAGAGTATAGAAGAAGAAAAAAGATTAGACTGAACTTTAAGATACAGCATAGGCTATAAAAGATGAAATGAGGAGCTTCAACCTTTTCATTTGAAATTGATTCATCCTCATCTTCTGATGAAGGCCATTCATCAGCAGCACCTTTTGAAACTCTGATGATGAAAATAAGTGCTTACAGGGGAAGTCATTTGTCTAACAAATTTGTAGCATGAGGTAAGATATTCAAGCTTACCGACTGACTGACTCTGACTGGGAATTTTCCTCTAAATCTGCAAAAACAAACGTTTTAAAATGATCTTTATGTCAATCTATTTCAGCAAAACAAACGATTTAATTCAATTTGATAAATGTAAATTATAAAATCTTTATTTTAGTCTAAAAATACAGAGCAAGTATTGGGACCACAATCTGGGCAGCAAGAGTTGTTTTTTTTTACAGGAGGTTTAAAGCTGCCTTAACAGAGAACGTGGCAGGTGCTGCACTCTTCTTCCACCCTAGAAATGTCTGTTTTGTACAACAAGAGAACATACTTTATCTGCAATGTGTCGAGCTGAGTGAGGAGTCTGGTGGAGTGTGTGCTGAGAGAATAATTTAGGTGCAGAGCTTTGTAACAACACCTTCACACATCCAATCAACAGGAATCGTGAGTGTGATTAACTGAGGCACAAGTTACACAGACAAATTGGATTTTGTGTCTGTGTGCGCAGATCACTGTGAACTGCTCACTTTAACCTTTAAACGACCCGGAGTCTAGGGCTGCCACAAACGATTATTTTAAGAATCGATTAATCACCGATTATTTATTCGATTAGTCGACTAATCGGATCATACATTAATTGAATATAAAACATAATCACATAAGAATGCAGCTGCTATTGTATAACCATCGTTAGATTTTAGCTATATGCTAACTAAAAATAATTGCTGTGGAAGGTAAGTTCTGCTCTGCAGATATTACACAGGTTTCTCTTTCATTTTCTCAAAATGATCCCACACTTTGAGCTCTGTTGTCAGGTAGCCATGATACCAGAGCCTTTCTGTATAATGTCTTGTGACGTCCACGGCCTACCCCAGTTACCACTACTGTGCATGTGTGTCAAGGACAGAAAGGCAGATGTGGCAGTGGAAGGTGTCAAAGCAGTGTGGAGAGAAAAACAAAGTAAAGAACAAAAAAAGAAAACGATTAATCGATTATCAAATTAGTCATCGATTATTAGTCGTCGATTAATCGATTAATCGTGGCAGCCCTGTTCAGCCAGTCTGAAGTTGGTTTAGATTCTTCTTCAGTCCCTGCACGATTCTCCCTAAAACACCATCAGGCTATCACACTGTTCCTGACTCAGACTAGATGCAGAACAAACAAACTTTCTAACTCTGATGTTATTGTTCATTCCTCACGTCTTCATCTCTACAGTAAAAATAAAAGGTAAATGGACTGTTCTTGTACAGCGCCTTTCTATCCATCCAGGACATTCAAAGCACTTTAAAGTAAGGTTGGGCAATACTGGCAAAATAATTAATCACGATTAATTGTGGTGTTTATCCGATAACGATTAATTTGACAATTAATCCCCTGGAGTCCCTGGACTTCCTTATTTCGTACTCACAAGACCAATTTAGTGGGAAAGATTTGATCTTTGGAAAAAATTGTTTCAAATTGTTTGAAAATTACAGATTTCAAGCTATAAATCAAATTTTAAATTGTGTTGATAAATAAATTACAGAATTTTTTTTAATGTTCATCATATTTGAAGCGGAGAGGAGCACCAAGCAGACTGACCAGAGTAAACCCCAGTCAGTCTGCCTGGTGGCATTAATCATATTAATCGTCAAGTGCCAAAAAGTAATCGATTAATGTTTTTCTGACGATTAATTACACACAATACGATAATGCCAACCCTACTTTAAACTACAATCTGTGTCCTCATTTACCCATTCACTCAGCTAGATAGATCTCACTAACATGTACAAATCATTCTAGAGACTAATCAGTGCTTTAAATCACATTCATACACTGATGGGACACACATCAGTGGGGATTCAGCGTCTTGCCCAGGGACACTTTGACACGTGACTGAATACTGGGGAATCGAACCGCCAATTTTCGCATCAGAGCAGTGGTTCCCAAAGTGTGGGGGCAGTGCCATTGCAGGTGGGGTGCAGCTTGACTGAATGGAGGGGAGGTGGAGGGGGGGGATGCTCTTGTTAGCATAATGGACAGGTTTTTGATGGACATTTATTCTTAATCAACAAACCTTTATTTTTTTTTTCCTCTCAGGGTGTTGTTCATGTTTAAAAACCCACTTTGCACAGAAAAAATTTTAAAGTTTTATTGAAGCAATGTTGAATATTTTCACAAAGTTAAAAAACATTAAACATAAATAATTACTGTTAAGATGTTTTTAAGAGTTTGTAATTTCATGTAATCTATCTTTTCAGTTTTTCTTAATTAGTTCAAATGTTAAATAACATTTTGTGGTAAGAAATAAACTGAAATGAGTTTAAAAACAAAATATCTGTGGATGTGGTTGGAGATTGTGTGTGTGTGTGTGTGTGTGTGTGTGTGTGTGTGTGTTGTTCATGT